TCAAGTTAATGGGCTTAGCTATGACACCTAGGATGTCAAAAATCAAGTTCCACTGGTTCACATCATCGAGTTGTTTACATTTTTAAGGAATTTGACGTCGATTCTGGAAAGTTAGTGCAGATGACCGATGGCACACTATGTGCAGTCCGGGTTGAGGTCAACGGCCCAGTTGGTCTGCATACAACCGGTGGAGGATGTGTAAGTACAGCTTCGCCCTCTTCATCCAAGAGCACTCCAAAATCGGTAGCTGCAGTTTCTACTACCACATTCAAGGCTAAGGTGAGAGGCGATGCCGCAGTGGTGCTTGTCAAATCGCCCGGTCTCTCAACCACGATGCATACGCCTCTGAAAGACAGTAAGAAACAATGGGATGACCTATCTATGATATGCACCAACGTTCTAGAGTCGGCATCGAATTCACTGAAGTGGAAGCAGATGGACGACCTGCTCGGTATTTCGACTAAGCCCACTAACCTGTCGAGAATCACTCGTCACCCAAATTCAAAGCACTACGGTGAAGCCATGCTTCTTCGTATTGTGCTAAACTCTGTCGAATTAGTGGAATCAGTCTTGCTTTCGAAAGCTCATTTCCAGAACGGATTCTGTTTGGTCCGTGTCCTTCCAGACGTTCTATGGGGCGAGAGCAAGTTGAATACTGAGAAGAGAGAAATAAAAAATATATGTTGCTCCATCGTAGGTGGATCGGGCACATGCGCAAAATCACGTCGCTGATTCCTCCGTGGTGGCAGCATATTGCGGCTGCACTACATCTTATCCGGGTGCGATACGCTCCCTATACCTGTAGTCCGCAAAGTGGGTGTCAAGGAATCTCTTAAATTCCGACACCGATTTCGCCTCGACTAGCCTCTCCGGCAATTTGTTCCAATATTTCATCACTCGACGCTCGAAGCATAGAGGGTGAGCGATGTGCTTTAAATCCGGTACCACTAGTTTGTACCGGTGCCCGCGTGTGCTGCTTGGTGCGCAAGCGAAGCAGAGCCTAGAAGAGTTCCGCCTAGATACCGCAGCCAGAAACGTTTTTCTCCACGGCGTCCCCCAGTCTCATTAGCATGATGAATGGGAAAGAGAAGCTCACGACCAAAAGCAGTGGCGCTATATTCGTGAGATTCTACTCTTGGATGATGCTGTAGCTGCTACTCTCTCCGAAAAGACAAAAGTCAGCAAGCAACAAAGTGTGCGGCTCAAGGAGAATGAAGGTTGTGTCATGATACAGTATTCAGTATCCATTAATGGCATAATGTGCTAGCTAGTGGTGCAAGCCCCTAGCGGTCATGGGTTCGGTCCGATGAAGGGGACCGAAAGAACGCACCCTAATGACGAGTCCTGCGAGTTGGAAATGGCCGCCGATTGTATTTCCGGATTGGTAGTTGGCCTATCTGGCTTTTAATCTAACTGCGATGATCTAAATAAATTCCACCAACTCCGCCTATTCATCAGTAACCAACGGGATCTGCTTGAGATCTATCACGCGCAGCCGTTGAAAATTGAGAACTATTCACGCACCTGCGATCACGGTCAGCCGCAGATGGGAGTTGCGGGTTTGCACCAAGGGCTACCTAACTTGAGACGGGTGGTAGCAAACCATTGTACACCGGGCGGCGCACTCCTCTCGTCAGAGACAATGCGTGACACTCGTGCTCTACGCCAATAGAGCTGTGAGCTCATAATCCGTCACTTGTCTCCCATGGCTAGGTTATAAAGAGGACCCTCGGCCTCTCACCAGCCTCCGAAGAAGAACGCGAAACTGAGTTACTATGAGCTATCTGGTGTGAGCTGCTCTGAACGCATTTGGAAAGTGCCTCGCAGTTTAGCTCAATGGATCACGAAGGTATACATGCTATCGCACCAATCTACGTTCTGGTCTCGTTACGATGCAGTAACGATTGAATGCACAATGCAACAAGCACGATGCTTCCACTTGTTCCCAAAATGCTTCGTGATAGTTAGTGCAAAGGTGTTCCGGACTTTGTAGACAGTGTTCATCACGTAAGGCTTTCAAAAGGGTGACGGAGAATGACAACATGAGTGACTTGGGTAACAGTTCAAAAAAGCAGAATGTCAAAAACATGCAAAAAAGGTAAAATCCGCAATTGACAGCGAAATTGTATTCCAAAAGGAACAGTAATCGCCGAATTTAAAGGCACTGTCTGCGAAAAAGAGCCCAGTGCAGAACAAACGGTGGAATGATCCAGACTATGTCTAACTACAAAACGGCTGGGACAGAAAGCGCATTCAAAGAGGCTGCAATGCAAAGGAATTTATCCTTGGGGTGGGAGTCAAAATAACAGCTCATTCAAACGCTGAAGTAGTGGTTAGGATATGATGATCGGGTGAAAAAACAGCAATCCATTAGATGCAAAAACAGTGTTTAGTTAGACAATGTATCGCAGCATAGCAGGCTTGGAAACAAAATGATATTCTGTCTCCAAAATATGAGCAAGTTATTCAAAAGGTAAAAACCCAATCACCGGGTCCGAGAAACGTGGGCGATATGACGGTGTGACATAACAGTTTAACCGATTTAATCAGCACAGCCAATTTCAAAAAAACTGCGAGTAGAGTATCGATGACCGCTGGTTTCATGATTAAGATGGCAACGAGGAATCGTCGAGAGTGATGGAGGTAGTGGGCAAGGAATCTGAGAAGGGAACAAGGAATAGCGATGATGTATGAGCTGAGCAGAAATTAAGTGGTGTAACCTCAATGGTAAGTTGATAGGCAAGCCTGTGGGTGTTAGAGTGAGCCACGAGAGTAAATTTAAGGCTATGGCTATAGCCAGGATTCTCAGTGCTCTAATAAAGACGTAGAAAGTGGCAATCACCTGCAGCTCATAGAGTACCAGCAAACCGTTCGACAGCAATCAAACACAGAGTGAAATCAGTAGCATACAATCTGTAGCTCAGCATGGCCAAAAGCACAGTGGAAGAGAACATTTGTGGCGTCAGGAAGCGCTGTACTGTTTGGGTTCTTATCCGTAGGCGGTGAAAGGAAAATAAGCAAAAGATGAAGTTAACAGTTCGGTTCGCTAATTACGACCGGAAAAGAGGTGTAATGGATACCGGCAGCTGTGAAACAGTTAGGGTTACAAGATAAACGGAAACTCAAAACAGTCAGTTAAACACGAGCGCACATTAGATAGTGGCGAAATATCGATAATGACCATCGGATGTCGAATAACCTCCAAGACAATTCCAGTAACATGCTCGTCGAAGAATTCATCACTCTCATCCTCACCATCATCATAATTACCATCACCAATACACGCTGGGTTAAGGACATCATTAAAGTACTACGCGCTAGCTAAAGGTGAGAAACGCGTCTCAGCTAATGTGAAGCAAGACAACAGACTATAGAAACTAAAGAAGACAACTAATGTAATGCTTAACATCATATTATGCATCGGGTATGAGATGGAGGTTGGAGGGGAATTTGTTTGATGCCGCCTAATTTCTTGTTATGAGGAGGGTCTACGACAACAGTCCCAGGCGGATCCGGAGGTGTCGAAAGGCTCGTCAGATGATCAAAAGAAAGAAAATGTAGTTTGCATCACTGAGCGAACTAAAAGAGCAGACGGTTGAACTCAAACGCAGGTGAAATGATCGACGGCAGCCGAATGACCGCAAAATCTGAGTACTCTTCAGCGACTCCCTATAAGTGAAATGACGTCGGACATCGCGCGATCGAAGAAGCTGTTGCAGTTGAAATGACCAGAACGCAGCAGTACCGAGCACAAGCAACCACAGGGAGGCAACTGTAATGAATCTGGGAAACGAACCGCAACTGCAGTAAGAGATACAATAAGATAACATTTCCACGAAAAACGTCATTCTGTATGAACATGAGTTGTGGTGGGAAGTACCAGTTCGTTCCATAAATCTAAGCACTCATGAGTTATTGCTACATAGCTCTAGATTGGCTGAATCATATAGGTACTAGCAAATTTCAGTAACCGACGTAATGTCCTGAGAATCGAAATTCCCAAATTGATTTTGGCATAGCTGGTGTTCCTGTATGTTTCATCTTATTCTGGCAGTTACAATTGTGAGCATGTTTCGACAAAAAGATCACTGAATTGTTATTATAGATGGGCCTGACAAGTTGTGAGGGAAGACAGCTTCAAACGGAATCGAACTGGTATTTAACCGGCAGCAGAACCGAGGAGCACATTGATCATCGGTTTGGAAGGCAGTCAAACGCACGGACGTACTAACAAGCTCATTGGACACAAATGATAGAGGCATATGAAATAGCGAAACCTGAGCTAGCTCACCAAACGAGTGTTCCGAGCCAGTTGAGTCAGGGATGATGGCACAGGTGTCCAGACACATTCGTTCATCTGTCGAGCCTAGACAAACGTTAGAGGAATCGACTTGAACGTCGTCCAAGTTGAAGATAGCTGAGATACTGCACGGAATATCATCCTCATCAGAGCTGTCGCCCCAAAAATACCGAGGATCGATGTCCTCGTGAGAACTTCTAAATGTAGTGGGAGAGGCTGGTTGGTCCACAGAAGAGGCGGGGCACGAAACGGCACAGTAGCGTGAAGAGTGTTTTAACCGAGTGTAGGGAAACTGAGCATGATTCTCTTCCAACCGATCAATTAGTCCGTTCATGGCCACTTGTAGGGATAGACTGGGGGAATGGGGCTACAGAAACGAAAAAATGAATATGATCATTTAAATGGAACAGAGAAGACACTGGAAATCAACTGCAACCTGTAAAAAGAAAACAGTGATGTAAGTGTATGTAGTAGAGGAATCGATCCTGCATAAATTAGAGCACGCGGACCCGCAACGTGAGTCACAATACAAAGACCAACTAGCAGGTCTGACAATATGACCCATGAATAATTAGCTGCTTCGTGTAGCGTGTATGCACTACGACTGCGTCCTCATCTAATGCGTGAAACATGTCACGGTTAAGAGTGGCATGCGATTGTGATGATAGTAAACAAACGATGACAGAAGTCAGTCCTTCAGGTACACAAATTCAGTTGTCAAAGTCAATTCAGTGAAAAGTACAAGGCATTTGACATTCAGAACGCCTCGATATACACTGGTCGCACACTTCCATAAGTAACCACCTTTATGGGCCGATGAGGTTCCTCCTTTGATTCAGTTAAACGAACTACGAGGAACTCACCGTAGTGCACACGAACACCGACTAATCAGCGTCCGATGATCAAATCCGTCATGTCCATCTCGCAATGGCTGTTCTGCTCTTTATTGATTCAGTTCTTTACACTGATAAGACACTTCCATCACAAGTAGAGAAGCACTAGGTGATCGGTATTTAAACTTTGGAACACCCGGGAAACAAAAAGCTAGGTTGGTGATAAAATAGTTCAAAAGGATAGAAAAATTTTAAAAATGCGGCAGTCCTCCACCGCCCCTTAGTAGGCAGTAAATTAAGCCAATAATAGCTGAGGTAACAGTAAAAGGGTCAAGATATGCAGACTGGACTGATACGCCACTAGTTCCGGTTAACATCAAAGAATCAATGGAATTGGTGGATCGGTTCACTTACTTTGGTAGCTGTGTCACCTCTGATGGCCACATCCCTGAGGTAGTTACTTCGCATACCAGCAAACCTCGAGTGGTGTTAGGGAAGCTCAACCATCTATGGAGACGACGGGATGTCAGCCTACCAGTGAGAGGTACGGTGTATAACGGTGTGATAAGGCTGGTGTTGCGGTATGGATCAGAGACCTGGCCAGTTTGCTGTGATGACATTAAACGCTTGGTTGTGCATGACCACCCGTGCCTACGGATTATTGTTTATATCTAGTGGGAACACTGGGTGAACAATACTGAGGTCCGTCAGTTGATTTCCGGCAAAAGCCATACTCACAGTCTGTGTGTATCTCTACTCAACACCAACAACTACAACGGGACCACAAACTTCACCACCAAAACGGGTACAACCAAATACAAACAACTGCAAAAACTTCGGTCGTATTGTGACCCCGTCCTCGCGAACCCTCCCCAGCCATGAGACGACCGGAGCTAAAATCCGGAAATCAACTGACGGACCTCAGAATTGTTCACA